GAGCTCTAGTCTAGGATCACAAAAAGCTTCTCTATTAACTGCCAAGTATGATTTACAGAACTCCACCACTTCCTGCATCATCAGTTGTACATAATTAAGCCACCCTTTGGATACACATTTCGTGGGATCACTAGTATTCCTCTTACTATTCCTATTTATTAACCTTTTATAAATTTTCCAAATGGAAGTTAATTAGCACTTTCTAAATAGAAGAAAATTGGTTTTCAAGGTTTTGTACCTGATCAATGTCACACATGACAAGCTTCTGCACTGTCTTGTGTCTGAGTATTTCTCTTGCAGTGGATCCTTCACCTCCCCCCATAATAAATATTGTTTTCGGACTGAAAATCAATGCATGGGCATTGCAAAGTGAAAATTGGGACTCGACCAGATTTAAGTACTTATGTTTACAAATTACAACTAATAAAACTGTATTATAAGAAGAGGGAAAGTACTTGGGATGAGAAAGAAGTGGTGGATGGACAAGAGACTCATGGTAGACAAATTCATCAATCTCTGCACTTTGAAGCTTTCCATCAATCACTAGAGCCTGTTATCATCAACAATCAAAGTTGGATCACATTTTTGTTGTTGAAAAAACATGTCACTTAACTATTATCCCTAATTTATAGGCTCCACCCCACCCCACCACAAGTAAGAAGACATGAACCTTTCCAAAAGGCTTTGTATCCAAAAGTTGAATGTCCTGGTACTGACTGGCACCTGTATGCAAAATACTGCAGCAAAAAAATAAACGAAATTATTCAATTAGTGGAATTGGCAATTAAACAAGTTTGGCTATCTTGTCTGAACTTTTCAAAGACAAGATTATGGAAAATAGTACAAAAACTTCTGGTGCATATTTGATACGCAGTACTAGATGAGAATTACACTTTGAAAACATTCCTAAATAATATATACCTATTGAGAGCAAAGCACCATCTCAAGTTCTCTTCAATCTCTTCTTCATACCAACAGCTCTTTCTTTGACCTCCCACCGCATTACCATTACCATTACTTGTTCCATTAGAGAAAGAAATGTCACCCATTTTCAGCCTTAGAATTCTTCAAAGGGAGAGTTCTATAGATATAGATAATAGATAGAGTGAAAGAAAGATATATATAGACAAGAGTGTGAGAAGACAAGTGAGGACCATTAGGCAGAGAAATCGAAAAGGACTATGATTTAGGTTGGGTATGGAAATCTCTAATGAAGTGGGTGTTTTAATTGCTGCAAAATAAATATANAGAAATCGAAAAGGACTATGATTTAGGTTGGGTATGGAAATCTCTAATGAAGTGGGTGTTTTAATTGCTGCAAAATAAATATAAAAAAAAAATGCATGCAATCATCATGGTTTTTTGCAAATCATATCTAAGGATGGTATAAAAGTGAAAAGATCATCTAAGGATGATTTTGTCGCGTGCGTTGTTATTCATGTCAATGCATAATATACACAGACGGTATGTTTGAACATGTGATGGAATTTTTGGGCCAGTAGTAGGTGACGAGGGATTCAGACTTATATACTGTGGTTAGCGGCCACATTCTCGAATCTCCGAGTTATAGACCCCACCCTATATCGAGTAGATCTGTTTTCGTAAGTATTTACAGGTAAGTTTCTATCAACAAAGAATTACCGTAATTCTGTGAAAATCCCCTATCCTTTAAAATGGAACATGTTTAATGGATACATAAGCAGGATCAAATGCTTAGAGAGCTCAATTATTTAGTGTACAAATTAATTTATATAAAGCGAGAAGCTTGATAGTAATTCGCTCTTGTCGTGAAAAATTTTTCGTCGAGAAAGGGGGACTTAATTTACTTGACTAAACTCTGTACCAATAATTACGATAAGACAAATGATATAAGAGTTATCCAAAATTATTGGGCACCGAGAAATTCCAATATTCAACTATTGAAACTACTAAATTGTTAATGGCTCGACAGAAATCTCAAATCGTTGTGAGAGTGCATGTCTTTTATGAGTTCATTTTAAATTCGTTTGAACGCTTGAATTTGTCTGCAGCAACGTCTTTAACTTATTTTTGTCAAAAATCATGGGTTTAAGCGAATAAATTATGAGTTTTGATGTCTAGTAAGAAATTACCTTTAAACATCACACATACAATAAAGAATATTTATACACAAAAGGATAGAAGATGATGATTGAGATGATGACAAATACCGAAAAATAGGGTTCATACTTTTAAAGTTTTTTTCAGAAACTTGTGCAAATCTTTGTTAAAAGGAGAGACTGGCGTGCCGTGTGAATCATCATTCATATTCTGTTTGGTAGAATGATCAAATATGGCGTGCCAAAGCAACAGCACCCACCATCACCATCACAAAATCAATTCTTTTGACAGATAAGTAACTAAGCCCTTGTTTGAGCCTCATTTTGTTATCAAAATACATTCTTTAGCAGTGATTTGATCTCATTTCAATCACATTTTTAATAAGATAATATTACACGTAAACGCAAAATTGTTCCTTATTTTTTAACCATATATTCTCCATCGTAACACTATTTTAAAATACATTTTTCAAAAAAAATAAAAAAATAGGGCTCAAACAACCCCTAAGTATATGAACCATTCGACAGCTAATTTGTAAATGATTTACAAATTCAATCAAAATTAAAACATTAATTTATCCACATATGCATAAATATTACTCTTCTAATATTCACACATTTTCGTACATATGATCCATTAAAAATTCCCGAATGAATTATAAATTTGCTGGACCGCAGGCCAAATATTTCCTAGCTTTGTGCTCAGGGGCGGAGCCAGCTTAGGACCAGTGCGGGCAGATGCCCACACTGAACTTTTGGTGCTCTCTACGTCTGATTATGGTGCCTTTTTTCAACTGGTGCTTTCTGGGTTTGATTATGGTGTTTTTCATTTTCAAAGCTGAAGCCCACACGTAGGCAAATGACAATGAGTGAAAAAGCACTGAACTTTTGGTGCTCTCTACGTCTGATTATGGTGCCTTTTTTCAACTGGTGCTTTCTGGGTTTGATTATGGTGTTTTTCATTTTCAAAGCTGAAGCCCACACGTAGGCAAATGACAATGAGTGAAAAAGCCCAACAAATGCCCAATAAGGTAATACCATCAACCAATATTCCGACCCAATTTTCAATTTCAACACATTCGTAATTCATTCATCATTCTTCCATGCTCCACCTGTGTCCGACGACCTCCCGCCTCCGAGTCTTTGACTTTTATCTACCGCCTCCGACGTTGAACTTCTCAATCGAGGCAGCCGGCAGACCTTCGAGCCCTAGACGCAGGTCACGCAAGCAGCAGCAGCACCTTTGAAATAGAGTCCTTGAACTTCTCAAGACGCGGCAACCGGCAGCAGACCCCGAGTCCTTGACCTTCGATTCGCGACGCCATCACCGGCACAATAGAAGAAGAAGGTGAGCCCCTTGATTTTGACTCCTAAACTCTAAAGCCTACTCAAGTTTTTGTTCAGTTTTTATTTGTTGACAGTTATTTACTTATGTTGATTTGTGTAGTTGTAATTATTTCTTTTTAACATATGAAATTACTTTTGAAATGCTATTGAAATGCTTGAAGTCTTGAATTGCTGTTGAATTGCTTTTGAATGCTCTTGAAATTAGACCTAGGAGCCTCGGGCCTGTGAAGCCCTCGAGCCTAATTGACTGATTCGGTGATTCCTGAAGCATGCTACCAGCCTACTCAAGTCTCAGTGTTAATGGACTCACTACTCCGTGACTGTGAGTTCACTTACTCCGTGACTGAAGCTTGATTCCAATTTCATGTTGCTAAAATGCTAAATTGCTAATGCCGCCTCTCTGTGACTGCGAAATCATTCTGTAACTGTGAGTTACTAATCATTCATGACTAAAAACTCGACGGCGCGGACAAAATTGTGCTCGCACTGAAAAAGAATCCTAGCTCTGCCCCTGTTTGTGCTTGCAGGCCTATGATGGTTTTTGTGTTTGATTGGCCCAAATGTCCCTTGATGATCTACCCCTTGTCACCACTTTTTTGGGACTGTTGGGTCCCCTAGAAATGGTTTCAACTTGTGACATCGTATTAGCATCAGCGTGACCTGGCCTTGTCGGAAACCACTCCCAATTTCCTGAAGCAAAGCTACAATATCTGAAAATTTGTGTACCGATATTATCCAATGGCGTCTATATGGTAACTGTATCCTCAATGAAATCGATATTTCTTATAAAAATTCACTTCCTCTAAGCATCCATATAGCATTTGCTAATCAAGTAAAACCCTATATAAATCTTGTTTCTAATTTTTATTACTTCAATCTCCCCTGCGCAGAGAAATGGTTTCAAAGTACATTTCCTTAACATAGAGTTTAACTGATGTCCATTCGTTCATTGCATTCACAGTGAAATGTGAATCGTCCAGCATCCAATTGTTAACATGGCAGAAATGAAATCAGATCTGCGCGCTTCATTTCAACACAACATACTATCCATCCATAGCAAAAGATAAAGCATGACATTACCAATAAGCAAGAAAATCCACCAAAAAAAAAAAAGAAAGAAGTAAAATGTCTCGATAGCAATGTGCATGAAATTCCAGGAACAAGGTTTTATAAAAAGGATAAAGACGGGCAGCATATCAGAACAGGAAGTTCCCCAAACAACTTCAGAGAAAAGCACAGCAGAAATTTTGGAACTAATGATTTTATTGGGTGTAATTCATGATGTAATATCATGTGATCTCAACTGAATTTTCCGAATATGAAAGGCAAATTTGTCTAAGGTCATTTGAAACGATTACAAAATGGAATAGCTAGTGTTTATGAAACACATTTTACATCCCTCGAAGGCTACAAAATATAATTAAGTTGTAACTGGGCAAGGGAAAAACTATTAAAAAGAATTGTATAGATGGGTCTTAAATTCCCGTCTCAAATTCATGAACTATGCCAGCAAAACTGAATGTTCCGTTGGCTTCAATCGTGTCTATCTAGGAATTTCTCTATCAGGACTGAAAATGCAGCAAAACCAGCACAACCAGCACATGCCGCTTTTGGACCCCCTGAAAAAACCCCAAGATAGATTCATTTAACCAATATTCAAATGGAGAAGACACAATCAGCAAATCTGAATTATGCAAATAATATCAAGCAACAATTTGAAAACTTAAAATGCTACATGATATATCAATTCTCTCGTTACCTTAATTAGTATAACATAAGATACACTGCCTAATACATACAGAACTAAATCTGAGTAAATTCATCATTAAAATTTGTATGCCCATAAGAAACTTGACACTTGGAAAAGGGTATTGAACACTTCCGTAAGTTCATACATCTCTGGGTTACTTAGAAAGCAAATGAAAGATGCTTGTTTTATTACATAAATATTTCCATTACATTTGAATGCGTATCTATAACAACTTTACACTCAGCAACATTGTAATGTAGAGATTTGATAAAATAGAACAAAAACATTTCCAGTCATAAAGTTCACTCCATTATCATATAATCTTTGGTGGACATAATAACCCAAATGGTCACTGAACTTTGCAAAATGTTTTCAAAGGGTCACTGAACATTGCAAAAGATTTCCATGAGATCACTAAACTTCAAAAATCATCTCATTCATCACTAAATTTTGCAAAACGTTTCTACGGGATCACTAAACTTTGCAAAGGTTTCCTAGGAGATTACTGAATTGTGACTCCTGGAAAACCTTTTGCAAAGTTTAGTAATGAATATGGTGATTTTTAAAGTTCAGTAACTCTGTGAAAACCTTTTGCAAAGTTTAGTGACAGCTTTGGTGAATTTTAAAGTTCAGTGACCCTATGGAAACCTTTTTGTAAAGTTCAATGACCATTTGGGTTATTATCTCCATCTTAGTGCGTTATCAATAGAAATGCCCCTAATAACCCTTCTGCTCCACACTAGCTCTCCAGTTTACACTTTAGAGGCTGGATGTTTCACAGCTTGAAAAATTACGTATAGTCAAGTGCTGCTTAGTTCAATGTCAAGAACATCAATTCAACCAAACACTATCTTATAGTGTGTAAATTATTCATGGGTTATTCATAGATGGAAGATATATTTACTAATGGTAGGAAGCAGGTGAAGATCCTCACAGATATGAAGGCAGCAAGTCTTTCATTTAATAGAACATGTTCCATGTCATTTTGAAGTATGATTACAGACACCCTGGTCGTCCAATGGTATAAAAAACACTTTTTTGGCGGTTACAATGGACGAAGTGAACATGTAGAAATATGTACAAGTGCAACCAAAGTTTTCCAATTTTTTGAATCTTTATTTTATTATTTATATCTAACACTAATTCTTTATTTATGTTGGTTCTTGATTTTTTACTTTCAAAGTATCGTCTTAATCACTTATTATCATCAGGTTTTTAATTTTGACTGAACATATTAATTGCTTATTTGTTTGGGTTTTCCTATATTTCAATTTTTTATAAAATATTAATCATGCGTCAGACACAACTACTTTATTTAAAAATAGTACTTAACATGGTCTTGCGCTCATTGTCAAGCAGTGCTTCACATGTACTGCTTGACTTGTACAACTATCAACCATCATAACAAGCATTTTGTCATGCTCAACATCTATAATTATCAAATCAGCGTAGTTCATATTCAAGAAATGGGTAACAATGGTAACATAGTGCTTTTTTACATAAATTCCTTTTTTGTCACTCTTTTTTTTTCATGACTACATCTTCTAGAAGATATAAAGCATCTAGGTCCTTATCATGCCATATTAGTTTTAAACAACCTCTCGTTCTTTCAACACATTCTTACCAAGACCACATCATTCTTATAAATTAGAGTTTCTTGTGGTCTAGGCAATTCATATCCCAGCCACTTAAGTAGGGACTCCCTTATCCTCAATTAGAAAAACTTTTTCTTGTTGGTGTACATTCTCCTTTACTATCCTTTTTCATTCTAGTACAACTACACATCCATCTTGACATCCTCATTTCTGTTGTTTTAATCTTAGGGATTTTTGTTGTATCAAAATGGTTCAAAAATGCCAACTCTCCAGTGCCCATCGAATATTCTGTATGATATAGACTGAAATGTTCACAACACTATATCCAGCACATCTTAGCAATAAATTAAATGCACTTGATTGTGAAAAAATCCACCAATTTTTCTATCATTAGCCTCCACAGCAATTATCTAAAATTATAAACTAACTAACTAGCTCTGGCATGCAATATTGAACATTTATATTATAAATTTAAACTTAAAATCCACAAACTCAAACGAAAATAGTTTTGAGCACTTTCAACTGTAAGGTTTCAAACGTCAGATGGCACTTTGCATTAAGATATAACTAGTTGACAATTCCACAGGATTAGTAGCTTAAGTTTCTAGATATGTAATTCGCTATTTATCATGCCAGGTTGTTCATTTCCATCCAGTGTCCCAACTATCAGAACCATTGTACTACAAACATTTATCTTCTCCAAATATGTCTTATTATCAATATAAGAATAATCTTCTATAATAATAAAATAGCAAGTTTGAAACTGATCGAACCGAATTTCAATATACGAAGTTGCATTATCAAGTTTATCCAGAGAATGATGATAGGGACAAAACTCTGAGGGGTATCCTTATATAAAACTCATACAAGGAAACTTTCTCAGACTTCTCTAGCATCCATCTATCAACTGATTCTCACAAGGAATAAAGATATTTTGGCCCTGATTGGGCTCCATTTTTTACAAAATGCATTTTTCTCTCTCTCATTTTCAACCACACTACACATAAACCAAAATTTTTCCTTATTTTTTAGCCATACATTCTCCAAAAAATACTATTCCAAAATACATTTTTCCTCGAATTTTCATTAAAATGGAGCTCAGACAAGGGCTTGGAATTTATTTATTTATTTTTTTTAATGTACAACCAAATCAGAAAATAGGGATTTAGAATGTATAGGCCACATAGGTACTTGCATAGAGGAAGGAAAAGAAAAGAGAAAAGTGATGATATTTTAGTTGCAAATAAAAAAGGAAACCATCGAGTCAATAATTTATGCACTTATTTGGTCCACATTATTTCCAAAATACATTTTTCTCTCTCTTATTTTCAACCACACATTCTTCAATAAAATAATATTACACGCAAACCCAACTTTTTTTTAAAAAAAATTTTAACCACACATTCTCCATCAAAATACTATCAATAAATGTATTTTGGACAAAAAAATAGAGCTCATACAAGCTCATGTAAAAAATTTAAACTATATCTTCAGTGTCGTCAAATTTGAGCTTTATATCAGCACGAGATAATTGTAAACCAATTTGATTCATTTCTCCCTTCTCGTCTAAATTCACAAACCAAACAAAGCCCCAGAGATATACCATTCTAAAAATTTGAATAGAATCATCAAGAATTGCTGGGAGGCAAATAAGTGACTACAATCAAGACTAACATGGCATTATATGACAAAAATCTACATACTCATAGCCCTTGTTTTGCCCCCATTATAATGAGAATTTGGGGAAAATACATTTTGGGATAGTGATTTTTTAAAGAATGTGCGATTAAATAACAAAAAGTTTTGGGGTGACGTGTAATAGTATTTTATTAAAGAATGTGTGGTTAATAAGAAGAGAGAGAAAAATGAATTATAAATTTAATGGAGGCTGCCAAACAGCTTAACATATTGAACCCCAAGAACAAAGGGAAGACGGAATTTGTATGACCACATATCAAGGTTACCTCTAGCAGATATTGTGCCTCCAGTTACACATCCCGCAACAACTGTATTTGTCATGTCATGCTTGGCCCGGGCCTTCAAATAAATCACCAATGGTCATCCTCTCCGGAAAATTTTCAGGGAAATAAAATGAGCCTAACCATTTTCAACTTAATGCTTCTCATTAAGTGATGTACATACCTTTTCAATGACACATTCTGCAGCAGAGAAGATGAAACCCATAACAGCAAAGGTTTTACAGGAATTCCAGCTCCTTCGACCCATCTGCTTTGCAGTGTATATAAACTGCTGCCTTCCAGTCATTTCATCTTGCATTATTGGATTATCCAGTGCACCGAGAAACAGGCCCATAAACAACCCCAACCCACCTCCTGCAAAGTAGCATCGGGTTAAAAGATCCAAAAATAAATAAATAAATAAATCAGAAGTAAAGAAAGTAAGATTTCTGAAAATACCCATGACTCCACTAACAACGCTGCGAACGGCACAATTGTTCCAAATGTCCTGACCCCGTATTTCCTCAACTGTGGGCAGGCGAATTGTTTCAATCTGTGGCTTTGGTGCATCTTGTGAACTTGAAGAAGTATTCTGCGATTCATTGTCTGGATTGGTACTCATGCTAGTGATCTGTTTGAGAGTAGCCTATTAAATTTGCAGATGGAAATACCATTCTGATAGACCCTCAAAATGATATTCGATAATCTGTATATAGAAGTCTCGAGCTTGCTATTGTTACTGAGCAGCATATATTTTATAGGAGATATGTAAAGCTCTCTATGCATGTTCTGACTAGTATAGCGTGCAACACTATTGGTTTGAAGACAGTAACTTGACAAATAGTCGAAAACCTGAAGTGCATGATACTAAATTACTAATTCCACACGAAAGAGCATCTTAAAAATGACAATTTTACGCGTCCGATGGCAACAAATGATTAAAAATGAATTCACCTTAGACAACAAGGCAGTACTCATCAACAAGAAAGAACTCAGATAAAGAATACTTTAGATTAATAAAGAAATAGAATACTGTCACTATCGCAGAAAATTACTCACCTATGGTTGATAAAATCCACGAGTCTCCTAATTCTAAAACTCATACAGAAATCAGTTGTAAAAAAACAAATTATTTTTTGTGTATAATCCAGATAAAAAACAAAAAGAAGCAGTTGTGAATCACATAAAAACAGAAAAAGAAATACCTTGAGACTCGGCAGAACACCCTGGGAGATGGGTTTAAAGAAAGTTAGGGTTTTGGCCCAGCATATAAGCCTTCAAAAGTGGTAATTATGTTCTACGACCAAAAGAATATAGAAAATATTATTAACTGAAAAGATAGAAAATGGAAGAAAAGAAATTAGGGTTGGCAATGGGACCGGCGGGTCGAGGCGGTTTAAAATTTTCCCATTTTCCTACCCGTTTCAATTTAAATAAAATTTAAATTTATAAAATTAAAAATATAATAAAAAAATCGGGGCCGATAACTTACCATTCCTCACTCCCCCCATTCAGGGCGGACACAAGAACCGGCGGAGGAAGAGGGGGGTTGTCCACTTGACCCCCCCAACTTTTGAGAGGTTTTTTATTTTATTTTTCGTCCCTCATTGAGATGAATTAAAATTTTAACTTTAATAAAAATTAACAATTAATTTTAATAACATATTTCATGGGTTTCATAAATTTTCAATTTTTATCAAAATTTACTAGAAATTTGATTTTAATCTTCATCAAACAAGGACAAAATTACAATAAATTTAAAGTCTGTTTGGGAGTAATTTTGAAAATTGATTTTTTGACCGTTAAGAGAAAAGTGGGGTCCACCTGTAAGAGAAGAAGTCAAATATGACGGCTAGAATAGTGATATAACGATCAAAAAATCAATTTTTTGTGGCAAAAAATCACTCCCAAACAAGCTGTTAAAACTTTTTCATTTTTCCTTATATTATACTCTCGTGACTCTCCCACTCACGCATTTTATCAAATTCTTAACTCTTCTAATTTTTTAAAATTTGTCTATAATTTCTCTACAAGTCATAACATTTACTTCACTTCCTAATCATATTTTGAACATAAATTTGCATTTTCACCTATGAAATTGTGTACATAGAATGAGTCTTAAATGATTATATCCAATTTGACTTATATTTAACAAATTGTGCTTATTTGATTGAATATTGGTTATAATTTTTTTTTATTACTTGAATTGATTGTTTGTATCAAATACACTATAAATTATTTAAATATGCATTTTTTTGGTGATAAGCAAAATATTAATAAAATGACTGTTCGAAGTCAAATCGATGAAAATGATGAACAAAATATTAATGAAGAAATGTGTTTTTAAACTTAATTCTGCATTTGCTCGAGTCAAGTATGAATTATATTAAAAAATATATAAGGGTTAATTGTGCCCCCAACTCAAAAAGTCTGCGTCAGCCCTTGCGGCTCCATTTAGATATTTTTCTGAACCAATACATCTTGTCAAAATTATTAGAGAAGTCTCATCTTGCTGGAATTAAATATTAAATATCTCAATGTAAGAACGTTCATTCTAATGTTCGATTTAAATTCCAAAGAATTCATAGGATTTATCTCAAAAGAAAAAAGATGCTAAAGAGGCTCATGATACTTTTGGCGACAATTCTATGTATTCAAAAATTGGAGGAGAGAAAGCGAAGGAAGAAATTCAAGAAATAAATATATCATTAGAAAAATAAAGGCAAAAAAAGGGAAAGCAGGTAAAGAGATTGAAACATATTTTACTCCAATAACTACTATTGGTATTCAAACTAGTTTAAAGTGTTTTAACTGGTAAACAAGAAGTAAATGTAGCCCATAAGGCTTAGATTATGTGATTTTACGATGCTTATATGTAAATGATGCTTGCATTTCATTTAATGCATTACGAAACCCCTTACTTTAAACTTGCTTTAGATGTTAAAGTTGCAATTGGTCCAAGATTAAAGGTCCATCTTATAATAACATTCGTGTTAATTTATTGAGAGATTGTAAGAAAAATGTCAATTTCTTGTTGATTCTTGTTGAAGTCAAGGATAAATGATGGATGCACAATTATGATCGATGGTTGGAGCGATTTAAGATAGAACTTTGATTAATTTTTTAGTATATTACTCTTCTGAAATTGTATTTATAAAATCTTATGATGCATCAAGATGTAGTAAAAGATGTTCAAACACTGTGTAACTTGTTTTCTGGGATGGTTGAGTGGTTGGACCTCATAAGGCGGTTCATACGGTAATTGATAATGAAGCTATGTGGTTGCTTGGAAATTATTAAATGATAGACATGATCACATTTTTTCATCTCTTTTGTGTTAAACATTGCTCGAATCTTATTTGAAAGATATTAGTAGCATGTCTCACATACACTTTCTTGCATTATGTGCTTCGAAGATTGTAATATTCGTATAAATATTCGTATAATCACACATTTTTTGTTATTTTTGTCTTGGTCGAGGAAAATTATACATCCAACTGTGACTCAGTTCGCTACCAATTTTAAAATAAAAAATATAATTAAAATCAGAGTCAGTACCCTACCATATTCCCCGCTCCACGACTGGCCTCAATTCCTCGTTTAACTAGAGAATCGGTCCCATTTGTGGTGAGGCAACACCATTCGGAGTATTTTGGAATCCCTTCAAAAATACACATGTAACTAAAAACTAAGCTTAAAATCCAGTTTATTTAAGGTAAGATAACTTGATCTAATTAATTTAATCCGAGACTATGTATGCATTATCGTTATCTAGTGTGATACAACGTGTCAAACGTACATTGAGAGTATAAATAGAAAAACATAAGATGAAACCCTAATCTGAACAAAAGATTTAATTGTCCTCAAATGGTTACATTGCCAAAAAAATAAAATAAAAATAAAAAATAAAAATCTGAAAAAAAAGACAGAAAAAAGAAAATTAAAAAAGCAATAAAATGGATTGGAAATTTGCTAATGTCCGTGACCATTAACATCTTAATCACCGTGTACTACATTTGGATGGTTAGGAATAGAATATTTTTGAAAATCTTAAGCCACAAATGAATTCAATTGGAAGAAAGATTAAAACACATGTATACAAAGTCATTTTTACTTTGTATCCGAATGCTTTGATCCAATTTGAATCTTCAGCTGTGGGTTATTAGATGATCGTTTGTACATCTTTTTTGTTTACCCGCGTATGCCCAATGTACATATATTTCTTATTTGATCTTGAATTGCCCGATTTACTTGTAAATTAGTTAGATTTTTCATTTACCTATTAAAAAGAAAAGCGTCTCCAGAAGATTCTATTTTTAAAAAGTATATTTTTACAATTTAAAGAGCATTCATAATTTTAAAGAGTAAAATTTTTTAAGTACTTCAACGGACCCTTTGTCTTTAACACTTATTTTACTAGTTCAAAAAATATTTATTTTCATCAGATTTCCTTTAAATTATAATATTATTTCTCTCAATTAAAAATTAAATTACTTTGAATGCATTTAATTATAGAGTGTAGGTTTGACTTTCCTAACTCACTCTCTGTATTTTAAAATATTAATTTGAAGAGTCTTTTGTAACATCATTTTAATAATTGGCGTTTTAAAATAAAGAGCATCTAAAGTTTAAAGAGTAAATTCACCCTCGTGTTATACAGAAACAGGATTACAAGAAGAGAAAGTTGAAAGATGTGTGTGCTCTCTTACTTCACATTCATGCAATGACAATTATTGAAATAAACATCAAGTTGAAAATTATTTACATGATAAGTCGATAACCTCTTATATTCTTGAATTTTTAATTAGCACAAAACGTCATTACCTTTTAATGTTACTGTGTAAAACGTCAATGTCTTTTATTTTTTGACACTTATACCCTTATCTTTGCCTTTTATTGTGAAAATTATCATTTTCATCAAATTTCTCATGTAAAATGACAAATATACCCCCTATTTAAATAAAATCATAAAAAAGAAAAGAAAAATTAAAGAACAAATTGCAATCATACTTCCAATTTTTTTTAAATAGTGCAAATGAGTCCAAATAAATTATCAAAAGGGTAATTAGCACAAAACGTCCCTAACTTTTATTTTTTGACATTTTCACCCTTATTTTTATATTTCATTGCAAAAATTATTATTTTCATCCATTTTCTCAATTAAAAACTATAAAATAACAAATATACCCTCCTCTTTAAATTAAAAAAATAAAGAAAAGAAAAATAAATGACAAATTGTAACTATACTATCAAAATTTTCAAAAAAATACAAGTAAATTCCAAATAAATAATTATAAAAACAAAAATCATTTTATTTTTTAATTATTTATTTGTAATTTTTTGAATTTTTTTGAAAATATAGTTGCAATTTGTTCTTTATTTTTATTTTTTTATAAAAATGAGTATATATTTGTCATTTTACAGCTTTTATTTGAGAAAATTGATGAAAATAATAATTTTCGCAATGAAATATAAAATAATGGTGAAAATGTCAAAAAATTAAAGATAGTAATGTTTTGCACAATAATAATGAAAGGTAGGGATATTTTGTGCTAATCACCATTTTAATAATTTATTTGGACTCATTGCACTATTTAAAAAAAATTTGGGAGTATGATTGCAATTTATTATTTAACTTTTCTTTTCTTTTTTATTATTTTATTTAAATAGGGGTATATTTGTCATTTTATATGAAAATTTTGATAAAAAGGATGATTTCCACAATAAAATGTGAATGTAAGGGTAAAAGTTTCAAAAAAATGAAAGGTATGAACGTTTTGCACAATAACATTGAAAGGTAGGGATGCTTTGTGCTAATTACCCTTAGTTTGAATAATGTAGTTGCTTTTTGAGAACCTTGGTTATTCGAATAGAATTTCATAAAATTATGTGTATTTTATTTTCTTTTTCTATATATATTTTTTTGGGGCTCCAATCTAGCATTTACACTGAGTTTGTGTGAGTATTTTTTTTTTTTTTAATCTTTGATATCAATTATAGGATAAGTTAATCACTCAACCATCTTTCTCCATTTTTTAAGTCACAAGATAGGCCTTTTGATACTTGTTTTCTTGACAAAAATGGCAGCCCATATTCAACATAACACATAAAATCAACAATTCGATGTTTGAGACTTCTTGGCTTATATTAGGTTACGATTGGGAGAGTCTGTTGGGAGCAGCGATCGAAAGGGTAGAAGAGAGATGATAATTATTTTTCTTGTTAATATCCTCTCTCTCTCTCTCTCTCTCTCTCTCTCTCTCTCTCTCTTTGCTTATTAAAGTTTGAGGTAAACTTATCATTTTCTCATATACCTACATAACGATGAGTAAAAAGTTTCATTAATCACTGAACTTTACGTGCTGTCATGTTCAGGTCACTCAACTTTG